TATCTGGATTAAAGAAATCTCTGAATTGTCAGATCAGATCCTTCTTCAGTTCCTGCGTAAAATTGCAGGAGTCCCTAAATGTGTCGCAGGGACAGAACTTAGCGAAGAATTCGCACAATGCTCCTTTGAATCAAGAGCCTGGAAGGCAGCCTTTAATTGAGACTGAAAGTTTTTTATATGACACCTAATGCTCAAGGAGGTCTTCTTTATCTTTTAAAAGGGGATAATTATAAATGTACGTGGGCAAAACATATAGATAACAAGCTGGAATGGATTGGTCTCGCCCCTACGGTGCTTAACAATTGAAATTATTAAGAAGCGCTAAATTTGATGAGATGGAGGGTGACAAACATTGACCGACTCAGCACTTCAATTCGTGCTAGGCGAGTATGCTCCAACTCTGCCTTAGGGATTGTTCCACCTAAGAAAATTCCCTCATATATGAGCTTCCTTACATCCCCCAGATCTAGATATGTCTTCACGCTTGCTAGGTTGAATGCTTTTCCAACTGCAGAGTTAAGTGGCCGTTTTGCTAAAATACAGTACTCAAATAGATTGTGTGATTGTGGATCAGGTGCAATAGAGACCTTAGATCATCTTATGTTATTTTGCCACCAATGGATTGACCCCAGATCCTGTTGGATTACTCCTATTTTACAAAGACATCACCTCCCTATGGAACCCTGGGTGATAACCATACTACTAGCAGATGAGGACCCTGAAACGACTCGCTTGGTGGCAAAATATCTTTCGATAGTGCTATTTTTAAAGCGGCTTTGAAATGTTATAGTTTTATGTATATAATTTAAAAAGTTTAAAATTAATTTCCATAATATCATGGGATTTTATAGAATTCATCCAAGTTTACAAAATGTGGTCTGATAATACTGTTGGAGAGTATGTTTACTAGTTTTTATTGTAAAGACGTTTGGTCTAAATTATCCTGTAATTATATGTAATGCATTTTATAGTTGCTGTTTGCATGTCTGGCTTAAGACCTCAGGTCAATGAAGCTAATAAATGAAATGGAATGGAAAAAGTCTATCAAAACCTAAAAAATCCAAGCTGACAGTTCTGTAGGCTTTGAAAATGGTACTTCCTGCACCATGTAAACCACTACGACAATAACCTCTAAGCAGAGGTTCTGCAAACACAGTAGAGAAAATTGTGGTAGAGGTGGTCTTAATTGTCAACAATAGTTAACAGGAAGAAATGTTTTAAAGTATCAGCAAACTGCTGCAGTGAAAACACCTTCCTGGTCAGAAAGATCCACTCCCATTTCCCTGGAGAAACACACAAACACAGAGAAATGAACACACATATTATTTTCAACTTAATTTTTTTCAAATGGAATTTTTTTTATAAAATCCATCCAACTTTAAAGATACAGGAAGTTACAAGATCCAGTTTTACACCAAAATAATAAATCATTTCATAAGAAAAAAATAGAGGAAGATTCTAGATGTTTTACAGAGATTACTGTACAAAGATGAGAAAATCAGGAAAGATGTTGACAGAAAACCTGTGGAAATCTTTTAATATAATAAAAATGAGCAGTTTCCCTATGGTTCCCTACATTGTAACAAACTGAAATTTCAATACACATACTGGCAGATTGAAATACTTCTGGACAAAAGTAATTTAACTACAGTGTATTGATTTGATACCTTCAAATGTTAAAAAAAATACCCCTTAATGGGCCATGTGTGTTACTTGAACAGCAGGATAATGTTTTTGGTTTTTTTCCAAAGTGTAACATGGATATTTGTAGTGTTTTAGGAATTGTAACACAACACGGAGTACTCAGACCTGGCATGTGTTGTCTGAGGTGATACAAAATGTACAAAGCATGCAACAATTATCACATGGGTCATATATCAAAGAACTATTTGTGGTCTATGAAAATTAATTGACAGGTCTTGTTCTAGTACCCAATGAACCAATGTCAATGGCATCTTAAAACTCAGACTTGGCAGCATTTCTGCCCTTCCCCCACTCACTGGAGAAAGGCACAAGGTATTTTATTATGCTTAAAAATGAAATGTACCAGCAGGAAGAAGGCTGTGTACCTACTCTTGAGTTGTTTTTCACAGTGTTGTACTTATCTCTCCTATGAGTTAATAAAGAATATACCCCCCTGCCTCTGGGGACATCAGTTGGGCAAAAGACAGCAGTTTGAAAGTATTTTAGAGATAAGCAAAAACTTCGAGAAGATATACAAGGCATCTGGACTCATGCTGAAGGTTATCTTCCTGGATTCTCCATATTTGTTCAACATACGTTAACATGATGCTCCCCCACTTATGTTATTACAATATTGAAGAACTCCACTTATACATTAACTCATTGCCCATCAAAGTTTTAGCTAGTATAGCTGGGTAGTCTTTGTTTCAAAAGGCAGGAGAGAGTGCAAACACAAATGCCACCACAGAAATTCCCCTTTATACAAAAGGCCACATATTAAGACTTGTTATATCACTTGTTCTGTGTTATTCTGGTTTGTTTTTGTAACTTCATGCCATGTGTAAACACTAAGACTGGATATTCAGTTTCTGGAAAGAAGTGAAAATATTTTCAGATCTCATGTCAGTAAAAGAAACAGCTCATCCTCTCTTCTGATTATATTATGCTGGAATATCAGGTACTGCATTGATCATCCCAGAGAACAGGTGCAAATGCGAAGGGAAGCTTTCCAGGAAACAACAAAAAGTTCCTAGCTTATATTCCTTGTCAGAAATAATCTTTCATAACTGATCAAGTGACCCATCCAGAACAGTGATATCCAGGGCTACTTTTCATTCACTCACAATTTTGTCATAAGACGAAATAGTGTACCAATTATAGAACGTTAACAGAGTGAACACTTGATTTATATACTACTTGAACTGTAGGAACTTCAGCACTTTGGAAGCTCTTAAAATAATTGTGCTAGTCAGATTTATAGATTTTGGTTTGAAAATCAAAAGGGCAATTAATCTCTACAACTATTTCCAGGTGGAAAGTACAGAACCACAAGTCCCCTTATTAATGCTACCAACTTTCAGATGTGTAAATTAGTTTCCAGTTTTTGCTCCTTTAAAAATGCTTTGCATTATCTAACTAAAGATGTGCCAATTCAACCTCACACACAAAGGCAGAAATTAATAGCAGTGGGCTTCTCATTCATTGCGTCTGTCCCATGGGCCGGAATGAGAGTTGCTTTGCTACTGCATCTTCCCTAGTTGGATCTTTTTCCAGGCTTCAGATGCGGTGAAAATGCAGGAGTCAAGAATCCCAGCCACAGTAAATGTTCCTCCAATAATGGCACAAATCTAAGAAGTGCACAGGAAATAGGGAAAAAAAGGAACAGTAAATTCTCATACATACAGAGATTATGCTTGGTTTCCATTCACCTATTTTTGTGTGTGTGTGTGGGGGGGGTTGTGTGTATATGTATGTGTGCCTGGAAGTCATGGTTGACTTCTGGTGACCCCTAGTGGGTCTTGGATGTTTCAGAGAGGAGGTTTGCTATTGCCTGCCTCTGCATCCCGGCCCTGGTATTCCTTGGAGGTCTCCCATCCAAGTACTTGCCAGGGTTGGTCCTGCTTAGCTTCCAAGATCTGACGAGAATGGACTTGCCTGGGCTATCCAGGTCAGGGCTCCATTCACCTATTTTTTGATGTAGTGTCAAGTTAGCTATTCAGTAAGTTTCAAGTCTCACCAGGGATTTGAACCTGTGTTCTCACACCCACTTCCAACACCTCTAGCTGATATATCATGGAAGGCCTTTCCTTAAACACTGGTCACTGATCAGTGAGCTGCCACAGCAGAGCAGGGACCTGAACCTGGGTCCCCCAGATCCTAGTCTGACACAGGCACAGCCACTCCAAAGTGTATGCACACACAGAGAAAAGACATCCCCCAAGTTAAGCCAGTGTGGTCCAGGGCATCTGAGGGCAAAACAGTTGCCCTCTTCACCTCGTTTTCATAAAGTGTGGGAGCATAATGCTTTAATCACTCGATATCTGCTTTGGTCAGCTGAGCTTATGTCACATTTCATTCCCTTGTTTGTCATCTATCTCTGATATACATTGCACCATGTAATCCTTATCTTATGCATCTTTATAGCCTAGTGATGTAGGAAGGGAGAGTCTCTTATTTCCCAAACAAGGAAGTGACAATACTGTTGGCATCTGGGGAAGCCCAACACTTCAGCCACTTCATAATGATACCAATCAGAACATCTAATAGCAAGATTTATAATGAATAATGAAGCAAAATATACATAACATATTTAATCTGGGGAAACAAAAAAAACCTGATTCTCAAAATCTGGTAAAGAATAAAAAGGTTAAGGGTGACATCAGAGACATTCAAATACAAGAGAAACAGGAAACAAATGTCCTAAGAAGTTAAGCTCAAGAAAATGAGCTCTCAACCTTCCTCCCATTGGGGAAACCAACCCCTATGCACAGCCCCCCCCCCATATACCTCTATTAGTATGTGGCAAGGAAACGGCTGCGGAAGAGAACAGCAGCTGCTGTTGGATAGGGAATTAGGCAATAAAATGAGTAAACAGGCTTTTAATAGCAAGAAGCAGCAGTGAGGGAGGAATTGTTCATTTCTACATGTATTTATATCTCAGATATTTGTGCCCAGTGCAGTGAGCTCAACAAAAATAGGAAATGCTTCAGTGACAGAAGGTCTGAGGAAATGTATTTTGTAAGGCATAGCTGACACAGTCGGGAAGGAAAAAGCACACCAAAGAAAGTGGAGCAATCAACTCCAGTGCAGTTTGTATTTTTTCAGAAATGGATATACCCCTCCCCTCTTTCCATCAAGCTTCCTTTCCTCCATGAGTTACATAAAGTTACTTTTCAGAGTAAATGACCACAACATGAATCGGGCAATTTCAGCCCATAAGGATCAGGTGACACCAAAGGTTTCATACCACAAGGAGGAGAGTGGGGTGGGGAGCATATTTTGGAGTGTGCATCGCGGGCAGGAAAAATTGACTTCAGAGCAACAAGTGAAATGGAAAAAAAGACACACAGAGAGAAAAACATATTCATCTGCACAGCTCTCTGTACCACTAAGCACTGATGACTCACATGTACCTGGCATCTGCTAGGTCTCTTCCTCCCCTGCATATGTTCAAAGCATTCTGCGTTTGATGTGATGAAAAACCAAAGACAGAAACAAAGAGAAGGGGAAGAGGAGAGAGGGATGTCTTTTTTAAAGGAAAATTAAAAAAGCTCTTGCCCATCAGGCCAGCAGCAAGATTCCAGTCAGTATAAACAGTCCCCTTTTTAATGGGAATCCCTTTGGCACAGAGAGTGGCCATCACAGTAATTCCAAGAACCACAGGGCACAAGAGCTCCACCCCTTTTATGGGGGGTGGAAAGGGCTCACTGCTCAAAAGCAGAAAGGCAAAGAATGTGGCGTCACTTACCTGCTTTGGACTTGGCCAGGCATAGTTTAGGAAATGATACCAGTGAGCTGCCAGTATGGTGTGTAAATGTGGGGGATCCCTGATCACCTATGAAGTTCACGGGGTGCCTGGGGACAAGGCAGTGGGCCAGCCACCAGACCCCCACAAGCCCCAGCAAGCAGCTGCTCGGAATTAGGCATGGGTCCATACTGAACCCTGAGTCCCTGGACTTACCAGGGCTGCCACTCCAGGAGTCGCTAGGGAGGCAGGGGCCAGGAACATCAGCCAGGCGAAGAGCCAGGAGGCTAGCCGGGGAGGACTGGGTGGGTTGCCATTGCAGGATCGCCCTGCAGTAGAGACCCAATGGCTGTGGCCTGCGGTTGACAGGTAGGGGCTGGCTCCACTAGGAAGGGGGAGAGTGGAGCTTGAGGCAAGGGAGGGAAGTTTAAAAGGAGGCTCCAAAGGGCAGGCCGGGGAGGATTAGGCTGGAGACCAGGCTGTGCAGAGAAGGTTCCCAGCCAAGAGGAGAAGGACGCAGAACCTCCTCCCCTCTCACTCTGAGGCCTGCCAGAGCATTCCGTCCTCCCTACTGAGACAGTGGAAGGCAGAGTCCACCAAGCCACATCCCCCAGGCATGACACAGGGTAAACTGAGCAGCCTGTCAGGCTCTCAACAATAAGCAGGTTAGACTAAAATGTTGCTCTGAACTCCAAGCAGGAAGAGTGACATACAAGTCTAAATAATTACACAGCCCCTGCATGTCCAAAGGTAGTAAGGGAGGAGGCAGAAGACAGTTTTTATCACTTTTCTCGTATCTATCCAAGGAGCAGTCCCCTCAATGTGACCATAACAATGGAAGAAGAACATTGCAGGGCCCATGTAGTCCAGCATCCTGTTTTACACAGTGGCCAAGAAGTTGCCTTGGAGGGCCAACGTACAGGGTAAAGAGGCCACACCCTTCCCTTGATGTGGCCTCCAAGCACTAAGCAATTCTTACTCCTTCCCCTAACAACTTCTCTGCTTATAACTTCTCTGGCTATGCTGCTGTGGACTCATAATGGCAACTGTATCCAAGACAGACAAACATTATTGTTCATGTATCTCCTACTTTAATTCAAATACACACAAAACATCAACTTCCCACTTACTGATCAGGCTACATATGTATGAATATTCTTCTTCCTTGCAGGCATGCTTAAAGCTCTTACAGTCAATGACACTAAGCGGGTCAATTTCTCTTTGAGGTAACATTAGGGACTTTTACATTTCCAAACTTGGGTAAAATCTTTCATGGCCTAGTAGGACCATTCCCACCTAAGCGCACAGAAGTCCATTGTAAGCGCTTCTGTCCTTCTGTAGCAGTTGTAAGGGTGCAAACCCATAAACAAACTGCTCAACAAAAGGAGCAATAGGTGCTCCTTCCATGGACTTCCTTAGTAGCTTTTAACTAAGCATCTGTTGCTTAACAGGAGCCAGAGTGCTTTTGAGGCCTACCCCCCTCCGACAATAAGTCCAGCTGCCACAGCCAAGTTAATCTCTGGCTGGGCCAGAAGGCCACAGCCTCACCACAGCAATGATGACTAGCCAGTCTCCAGGGCAACCATAATGCAGAAGGGCAAAGCTGGCAGTCTTAGCTGCGACAGCAAAAACAATGACAGACCACAGAGTCACTGAACTAGACAGAAGGGTTTGGGAGTAATACACTCCAATGCACAGAGGCTCTGTTCCTCCCACTCTATTTATTAATCAGCCTTATTACTGATGTATTAAAAATACGTCTGTGCTACCTCCCAATGAAAAGTTTGAGGCAGCTTAACAATAAACACAGACCACAAATTACAGGTAGGATACAATTCCAAAATCATTAAAGCCTATGAGATAGCACAAATCAATAAAAACAGCAGCCTATATCCTACCACTTCACTCACTCACATTTGAAGCCTTCCTCTTACTTAAGTGGTTCTTCCACAGGAAGATGAGCCATTTAAGTTGGAGGCAGGCCCTGTAGGCTTGAAGGAAGCTTCAAACTTTGCTGAGGGGAGTGGCAGGATACAGGCCAGCAGTATACACCGCCAGCAATAACACCTCAGAATCAGCACTGCATCCCCACTCCCACATCCTCAATGCTGATTTGTCTGCCAAAGGCCTGGGAAAATTCAAAAGAGCAGGCATGAGGTGAATAGAAGGAAGGAGGGAGGGAGTTCCACAGGCAAGGCACCACAACAGAATATTCCTTCTCTCTGAGATCCATCCACCTTACCTTAGAAGGTGGGGTAATAGAGTGCAAAGCATCTGGTGGCTTCATTTTATCTGGAAAAGTGTTGACTGTTTTGCTCTGAGCTTTGCAGACAAAATCTCTTGCAGACATACCAACTTGGACTTTACACTAGGACAGACATAGTTCAAGTGGAAAATGGTTTTCCTGACACCTATTCCAGAAGCACAGTTCAGAAGGATATTGTGGCCCAGGGTATCAAAACCCTTGGAGAAATCGAGGAGGAAGGCAGGTCTATGTAAGAAATGTGTGGCAGGAGCAGCCCTAGTTCTCTATGCCTGATGCTATCTACTTTGCTCTTGTGCTGGGGTGGGTGCTTCTGGTGAGGGCTTGCTCTTTGCCCCAACAGTACCACTCATTTAGATTCCCTTCTCCTGTATGCACTATTTTTGTTTTTAGAAATCAGACCATCCCAGCTGCTACTTGAGAATTTCAGTCAAGGAAGGAAGAGCGCAGTCCCAAGCCAATTCTTACTCACCTATGCCTGCTGTGTGAGGATGAAGATGGCCAATAGCATAGGAATGCCCACCTGATTTAAATTTGCAAGAGAGCACCCCCTTGGGTGAGAGATGACATCTCTAAGAATTTCAGTCCCAACTGGATGGGAAAGAGGAACTTAACACTCC